CATCCAGCACCGACATGAGCACGCAGCAGCAAAGTAGATCCTGAAACAATGCTGCTAAAAAGAACGTTATTATCCCGCCATCCTGAAACAATGCGGAAACAAAGAACGTTATTATCCCGCCCCCGACCCCCCCCCTCCCCCCCCTCCCACCCCCCACCCCCCACCCCGAAAAGAGCAAAAACGCACGACAGAAATCCATGCGCTAGCACAAACTTGCACCCTTTCCAGCACAACTGTCTGCAAAGGCCAACACAGGGGAAGCACCACCACCGGTAGTGGTGGTGGAGGCGGTTGTCGTCGTTGTCGGCGTCGGCGTCGTCGTGTTCGTATTTTGGGTGCGAGGATTTGAGTGTATAACTCTGGCTGCTATGTTTTCTGGTTCAAGAACCCGGCTTACGGATTATGTCATTCTGTCATCATCTCCGTCATAGTCATGAGCATGACTTCAACGACAATCTGCAGCTGGCTGCTGGTGCGAGCACCGGCACCACCCAAACTCTACCCAATCCACTTCAATGGCTTCAACTTCAAGCCCTGTCCCTCCGCCCAGCATCCCCCCTTTCTGGCTACAGCCGACCTCCAGGAGCTGGCCAAGAGTGCCACGGCCTGCTCCCACTGTTGTGCTACCTGCCAAATGTCAGAAGCCAGGGATTTCGCCTTCTACTTGGAAACAGCGCCACGGGACGGATGAGCCATTTATGCAGTCCATTCTACCAGGTCCATGCCCAGTGTTGCTGGACAAATTCATCGGTGAACACGCCTTGTGACCCTGATCCACCAACAAGAACAGCCTTGTGGAACTAGCTAGCGTCAGCTCTACAACCTTGTCGTCTGCCAAAACTGTTGAGCGTCACGAAGGCCAGTCACCTGCTCATTGGTCTGGTGGTCTGGCCTTGACGACACTGCCCGGTGTTTTCACGATGACTGCTTTTCTTTACCTGCCTGAAGGGCTTGCAAAGCACCCAGCGTACGCCGGCAGCGCTCAGCGGCTGAGGGCCGGCCTCAAAGGAACATCTGACTTCCGCCTGTGTCTCTGTGTGTGTGTGTGTGTGTGTGTGTGTCTGCGTGCGTGGTGAGCGTCGGTCCGGCCAGGAATGGTCAGTTGCTTCTTGCCACTTGGAGTCTGTCTACGACGGCTCACAAAGCTGTACGGGCATCCGGTGAGATGCAAGGGCTCTAGGGAAGCTTCTTGGACCAATGATTGGAAACTTTTTGAACCTTGACTGCGAAACGGTGGAAGCTTAGCCTTCAGCTGCAGAAGAGCGGCCGTGCAAGGCTTGCTGCAGCAATTCAAGACACAGCTGCCACTCGTAGGACTTGCCACAGGCTGCAATCGCTGCACTGTAACAGAGGGAATTGGGAGCCACGCGCTTCGCATGCAAAGCACCCAAGACCTCCACCGCATGTGACCACGCCGCGGCATTTCCACAGGCGGCTATAGCTGCGCCATAGCCAGCAAGTCCAAAAGCCGCATCGCGTGATGATATTCTTCCGTCCACTAAACCTTACTTGCTGCTGCATCATCGTCTCCCAATGACTTAAACCAAGTCAAACTAAACTCTCCGCCACATTTTCTTCCTTCGTGCGCATACGCTTACAGGAGAGCTTTCGCGCCCGCCATGTAGATTTTCTCTGCAGTCTGCTTAACTCCCAAGCTGCCTCCCAAACTGCCAAGCCACAAGCAACCGCAAGCTGCCATTGTGATGATTTGCACAGTGCTGAGATGGCCGCATTGGCCGCTGCTTCATGTCCTTCAGGGACGCTTCGGGTCTTTTGGCCGAACCCTCAGGTCAAGCCTGGACTTGAGATCGCTGCATGGATTTTATGTTGGTCCAAGGACCCTCTCCTACAGTTGCTGCAAGCGCGAAAGCTTTCAGAACCAAGCTAGCTAGACCAACCGGGAGCATCGAAGCTTCAGTCGAGCAAGATTCCCGACGACATGAATGGCCTGTTGCATCGGCCACTGCCGACCACAGCAGCAGCACTGCCTCCCAGACTCTTGCTTCCTGAGCTTCTGTTGGGAACTTTCCAACCCCCTGCGTGCTGCCGGTTACGTTGAAGTTGCACGGGTGCGGGGACGGGAACCGCTTTGGGCAGTAACGGAAACCGATCTCGTACCCTGTAACCGACACGCGGCCGCGGTAACGATAACCAGGCGACCAGTGCAACACGAACGACCACGGATCAAGAACTGCCATCGGAAACAAGCAAGGGTTGAGCCGGAGGCTTTATGCTCGCAAAGTAGGGGAACGAAAACTAGTCTCCCACAGAAAGTACATACGACTAGATAAAGATATCCATGCATTGGGGCACGTGCACACACACACATGCATGTGCTGATGCATGGATACTCAACACGTACACACAGCCGATCTTCTGCGTGTTTCTCACAAGCAGGAGCAAGCTGACAAATAGGGAGGCAGGCTGACAGTCGTAACAGCGTTTGCAATTGCTGTAGTTTCGTACCTTGAAAATGATGCATGAAACATTGAGGCTTACAGGTTTCAAGGTTTCAGCACGTGGGCTTTTGGGATTCCGGAGTCCTGGTGTCGGTTGACAGTCTTTTTTCCGGCACCAGAAGCTGTTACGGTCGGCCTGTTCCGCAAAACACCCAACTCAAGTTGCACCGGCCGGAACATCTCCGACCGTCACATTCTGATGGGCATCCTACGTACTGCGTACGGTACTCGTTCACACCGTAGTCCCAAGAATTGAAGTGTCACTGCAGAACATCACATTGCGCAGATACGCATGCAAACAAAAATGCCCGACCCGGAGGATCGTCCAGACCCCATCCCTCTCCCAAGAACATCCATGGCTGAAACGAGGTAACTTTCACTCGGACCCCTCGCATTCCCCAGGTCACCCATGCCCAAACCGAAATACATGGCCGAACCATGATGACGTACACTCAAAGCATCCATGCCCGAACCGTAGTAACGTCCACTCAGACCCCCTCCCTTTCCCCAGAGCATCCATGGCCGAACCTCCGCTTTGCCCAGCATGGACAAAAATACTGCGTGCACAGGTACTTCCTTATTGAAGCTTCAGAATGTGTCTTTCGCCCTGCGCGGGCCAAGCTTTTCCGACGTTCTCGTCGGCATATTGCTTTAACTGCTGCAAGCTTAACCGCTCCTGAAAAGGTACAATCTGACTCATGTGCCATGAACAGCTTCAGTCTGCAAATCGCTTCAACAGCCCGGTGTCTCCTGCAGAGGTGATCGCAGCCGTGCCATGCTTCAGCCTTGCACGGCGAATGGAGACTGGGTTGCCAGGCAGTTGGGCGAGAGCTAAAAAAAGGGCTTGCTATTTGCCATAGGGCACTGAACATCGGCCTTTGCCTGCAGTCTCGCTACAGCAGCAACCAACAAGCAAACCACAACAGCGAACGACGAGGAATGACGAACTAGCAAGACACGACAACACACCGACAGATGGAATCTCTGAGCCGAGAAAGACGTGGGTATATGAAATGCAGCTTTTCGGTTTGCAACCATTCAGGATCAGCATCGGGAGCATCCAGGCATCTGGCTTTCACGCTTTGGACATCGACTAATGCTTTTACATCAAAATATGCCAGCATAGATGCCCAAACGATGATCGAGCACCACGGCGACCATGACTAGAACCGCCGCGACCATCAGGAGTGGGGACCACCCGGAGACCATCAGGACCACCAAGCTGCAGATACTGGCATTCTGCAGACCCTTGCCAGAATGCTTCGCCGCCCTTGCTGGCCGGTTTCCACCGTTTGCAGGGCACCATCCCAAAAGTCGTTTCCCCCGCGCATGTGGTCGGGTTCTCTTTACACTCTGCACAAGAACAATCAAGAACACCATGCAAGTAGAATTGCCGCACGGCTTGGCCAAGACTTCTGACTACATGCATTCAGGCATGCATGCAGAAGGACGAATACCTACATACATATACACACATTCATCAATGCACGCATGCATGCATCCATCCATCCATTCAGTTGCACCGCATTTCATTACATTACACTACATTGCATTACATTACAGCATTGCACCGCACAGACACTAAACCGCAAGCATGCACCCACGCACGCACGGACCTCACCGAGGCACATTCACACTTGCGCACACAGGCCCACCCACCCACCCACGCACACATGTGCTCATGCACAACTATTCATACATAGCTGAAATAGGTGTGCAAATTTGATGAAGTGCCGACTCCATGTTAGTTTACTGTCAAGACCACGATTATCTGCGATCGTCACTGACTGACCGTTCCCTCAGCACCCCGAGGTCAAAACTCGATGACTGCTTTCGCCTGGCTGCACCTTCCCTTCCGTCCATACCATGCAGGCTCCGTGCGTGAGGGCTGCGCTTGATGGAAGACATTCCAAACACAACACCAGCAAAATCAGGTCCCATACCTAGGACTCTCTTAATGCAAACACCTTGAACCTGCTTCTGCACGCCTCCTCCGGGATGGAGAACTGCAATTACCGCAAGAGTTCGGGGTGACATGCATAAATTACAACGGCTTGAAACTCATGGGCGATATGTTTTGCAATCAAACGGTTGAGGTGTGGTGTCCACTGACAAACTACGACAGTCCACCAACCAGTCATAAACAGTCATAGCGACATGGCACAAACAAACCCTGAAGCAGTAAGACATGATGGCCACAAGGCACTGGTTTAGGGAAGACAGTGTTAGCCTAACTTCTCCAAAGTGCAAAGTAGCCCCGTGCTTCGCACGCAGAAGCGTCAGCGCTGCATCCTTGGAGCACAGATTACAGGACAAAGGATGAGTTCAGGTTAACAGACCTTAGTATTTAGTCTGTCAAGTATATCTAGCTTAAGGCTTAAGCCTCCTATAGAATGGCAAGAGGATAGAGCCGCTACAAAGGGCCAGCCCGTCGAGCAAGCGCACATCCGCTTGCAGAGTCCCAAAGCATCAGCTCTTGGTCTCGTGACGTTTCGTTTCAGCCGGCTCCCTCTTGGACGAGCGCTATTTCGACTCTCACTCTCGCACAAGGCAGGCAAGGCTTCACCTATATAAATTATGGTTTGGGGATGTGCTTTTAAAGGGTTCAGGGCGTTTGGGCTTGGGATTGAAGAATGGTTTTGGTTTCAGGGTTCCGGGTGTTTTGGCGTTTAGATGTTAGCCACGCTGGGGTAGCCACCTTGTCATGTGGGTTCGTGCACCCTGGGGGACAGTCGTACACGCTCGAAAACCTTGCGCATGCACGCGCGAGGCGGGGCCCCGCAGGACATGGCTGAACCGCGCGAGCGGGTGACATTGACAGACAGGCTCAGGCAAACTCTGACATGTATGCGACCTACGTCGCATACAACATCCTCGAAGCTGCTTTCAACACAGCCACCTGGTAATCAAGCATGCTTGCAAGCTCTTGGGCCGTGAGAATTTCGTTAGCATGGGCTCAGTATTCAAAGTGTATCTCAAACAAGGGCTCGGACCCAGTGCGACTGCTTCACCAGCTGCCGCAAATCCGCACGTCGTCGGGCACGGAACCTTTCCGAGAAGAAGTTCTCTCTTGCGCATCACCAGTGCGTAGTCCTAGAAATACAACTGAGACTTTACATCCTGTCTCCTTCATCAGACTGTGACAGAGCTAGTGTGCAGCTGATAACTAGCTATTATTAAACTTTCACGCCTGCTGCAAAGGCAAATAGGAGCTATGCCGTCGCCCCGCCTGTTTTGTTACCAGATCGCTCGTGCCAAGGAATGCTCCTTTAGAGCTCTCTTCCGACCGAAATTTTCAGGATGGTTTAGGGTTTAGGGTGTTTTGGGCATGGGGTGTTTCCGAAATCCTTCGCTCAAACGGCATGGTTTGTTCGTGCTTACTTTGGTTCAATTCCGCATTCCTCCCTCAAACCTGCCACAAGACCTAGACCTTGTTCGTTCTTGTCCTTGTTGTTATTGCAGCTTTACTTGTAGTCGTCGTCGTAGTAGTAGTAACAGTAGTAGCAGTGGTAGTAGTAGTAGTAGTAGTAGTAACAGTAGTAGTAGTAGTAGTAGTAGTAGTAGTAAGGTAGTACAGGAGTACTGTAGTGGTGTAGTAGTAGTAGTAGCAGCAGCAGCAGCAGCAGCAGC